AGATCTTGTCCAGCTTTGTTTGATGTGTTTCATCTCATTGAACTGGAAGATCTCCTCTCTGTTCACAATCTTGTTGATGACATCTCCCTGGTTCTTGAATTTCTCCAGCAGGATGTTCTGCACTCTGGCTCTGATGTCCAGCTGTTCCTCAGGGGGCAGCTCTGAGGACACTCTGATTACCCAGCTCTCCCTGAGTCTGTCAAACTCCTCCTCCACTTCCTCATCACTGAGCTTCTGCTCCTTCAGTCGAGACACTAGGTCTTTGCTCATTTTAATCAGTTCTGCTTCATATTCTGATTTCTTCCTGTCCAGCTCGAATCGGCATTTCTTCAGTCTGATCAGTTCATTGCTCTGCTTTCTGGTTTCTTCAACAAGCTCATTCCTCAGGCTATCAAATCTTTTATCAACAATCACCTTCCATTTAATCAAGATCTCCTGGTATTTTTCCTCTTTAAAATACTTCTCTATTTCAGCTGTCAGAGGGCTGTAGACCTCATCAAATTCTCTCATCAGATCTGATTATGTCACAGCCTGAACTTCATTATTGTTAATTTGGTTGCTCAGTCTGTTCTGTACATCCAGGGCTTGTTTCCTCATCTTCCATGACCACTGTCCGTACTTGTCCTCCAGTTTATTGTAAACCAACATTTCCAGGGTGTTTCTGAAGCTGAAGACAAAGATCTCCCCCAGCAGTGCATTCCAGACATCTCTGATCCGTAATTTAAACTCTGACAGTGAGGGAAACTTCACTCCCGGCTGCCACTGGGCGACACTGAGGAGCTTCATCTTCAGCTCCTGGACGTTCTGGCTGTAGGAGGGGTTGGGAGGAGCCATCGGATGGTCTCCTTCCAGAAGGTTCTTGATGTAGAAAACCTGTGATTCCACATTGAACTGGATTATATCACTGAAGCCAGTAACTTTACAGCCTTCCTCTTTAGCAGCAATGCGAGCCATTTTATCCAGTTTCTCCAGGAGACGCCTCCTTCCCTCCATATTCTTGTCTTTCGCTGAAGCTTCTGCAATGTTTTGGTGCACAAAAACACAACTTGGTTTTATCTGAACAGACTTTATTCTCAGGAACGCCTGGACACAGATCTGGAGAATGTCCTGCATTTCAGAGGGATTCTCTCCCATGATGTTGATCACAGTCATGTCGCCAATCCCGATAACAAAAGTTGCTAATTCATTGTCATGACTCAGTGAGGTTTTATTACTGAGCTCTGGTGACCGAAGCCCCTCTGTGTCCACCACCAGGACAAAGTCATACTGCAGCTGGGCTCTGACCTCCTCACTCACTCTCAGTAACTGCATGAATTCTCCCCTGGTGCACCTGCCTGCACTAACTGTGAACTGCAGCCCGAACATCGTGTTCAGCAGAGTGGACTTTCCTGAGCTCTGGACTCCAAGGACAGAGAGGACAAACACCTTTCTGTCTCCAAGTCTCTCTGAGCTTGTCAAGGACGGCCTCAATCCACACCAGCGGCACATGGGCAGCATCTCCGTCCATCCTCAGCTCCAGGGGATGTCCTGAAATTAACATCTCTGCTTCAGCAGCCGCAAGGACACTGAAAAATTGTCTCTGATCTTTTAGACCCTCTCCTTCTGATTGAACAGTCTCATACAGCTGAGCGTTTTCTCTCATGAGGGGTTGAAGTCCGAGAGTAGCAGCACTAATCTGTTCAGATATTGTGTTCAGTTTCTCCTGCAGTATCATTTCCTGCTCCTTGTCCGTATTCTTATCTTTCAGTCTCAGTGTTGTCCATGTGGAGTGGTACTTCTCCTGAAGTTCACTCAGCGTGTCTGCAGTCAGTTCATCTAGATACGTTCTCAGCTAGTGCAGCATGAACAGCTTGGTGTCTTGTGGATCTGCAGAAGTTAAACACGCCAGGAAGGATCTCATGAAGTCATTGAGAGGGAATGCTCTCTTCAGCTGTTCACGACGGAGGGCTCTTTTCTCAGTTCTGATCTCGCTCAACTGCTGTTCAATACTTTTGTTCGCTTTGCTGTTCAGACGATATTGTTCTTTGTCCTTCATGAACCACTGGTGCCACAGCTCACCCTGCAGAGGCAACAGCTCCTTCTTGAGGCTCAATAACTCTCTTTCTCTCAGCAGCATCAACAAAACCTGGGCCTTTTCCTTCCCTTCTGTACAGGAGTCACTGTCTTCATCCACCTTGAACTGCTGTCGTCTCGCTGCCTGTAAGTATGTCTGCAGGCTGGAGGTCTTGTTCACAGTGGAGACGGAGTGTTTGATGTTCAATATTATTTCTTTAGTCAGCTGTGCTTCTCCCCTGTTCTTGGCAGCCAGTCTCACCTTGGTTGGATTGTTTCCTGGAGGGACTTTACTCTGTCCAGCAAACAGATAGATCAAGATCAGGGGGGCAGGAGAGTTGATAAGAGCCTCAGCTGTCTTCTTCTCTTCTCCCTCCAGCGGAGACTCTGGGATCAGAAGCACGTTGACAGTGCTGACCTCCTGGAGAAACTGCAGCAGCTCTGGGTGTTTGCTAGCATCGCCGTGAAGGTTCAGGAAAGCCACACAGCTGTCGAACACGTCGTCCTTCCTGCCTCCTGGGCAGTACCAGGCGACCTCCACCACCCCGTCCATGAGCAGGCGGTCTGGGGAACTTTCACTGCAGTGCTGGTGGAAAAACAGACTGTGTCTCTTGGGGCTAACGATGCTGTTGAGGATCTGGGATTTGGAGACAGAGGATGATCCCAGCCTGATGAAGGACACAGTTGGCACTGGAGTGTTGAACATGTCCCTGCAGTTGTGTTTCACAGAGCTGCCTCTCTCTGAGGGCTCCTTACTGCACCAGGATCTCTTGACCTGCCTCAGGGCCCACAGAGGGAACTCCACTGCCCCAGTCTCGGGCCTGGGCATTAGGAGGTAAGGCAAACTGACAGGTGGAGAGCTTGGAGAAGAGGAATGCTCTCAGGAAGTCATCAGAGCAGTGGAACACAGCCATGTGGACATCCAGGGGGTGAATATGTGACTCTTGATAAATGTCCATTCTATAAGACTCTTCAGAAGTGCTATCGCAGGTAGTGTGTTACGATCCCTGCCTCTCGGCAATGAATGAGGCTGAAGAAGGCGTAGCCTTAGTTCATCAGTCCACCTATCACTGTACGCGTTCACCACCACACCTCCGTCTCATCTGGTATTTAAGCATTAGTCTTTC